CGCAATGTAAAATTATGAAGAGCGGGTAATTCGCTTCTGCAAATCTGAGTCAAACAGCTTCGCATAATGGTATTTGAAGTTCGCCGAAAAACGTGTAGAGATATAAATGGTTAACGGCATACCAACTGGGTAAAGGAAATGGGTTTTGAGAAAATTTATTTTTCTCTATATGCGATCATCAATTGCGTCACTATTGGTTGCTATAGATGTAGTTTGCAATATCTCCAAGTGTTTGGAACTGTTCCAGCGTTGAGACATCGGTCTGGATCTGAAAAAAGACAATGAATGCCGGAAGCGATGGTAGACTACCAAGAATTTTTAACTCACTCCAAAATGAAATGTTATTGCTCCAGCCATCATTTCGAGAAAGTAGCCTCGATCTACATTGATATCGACAGTGAGGTCGAAGGTCATGTCAATCTGTTCAAAACTCTTCGACGTGAAAAACGTGCAAAGTCGTCGAAGTTTGTCTTCCACCTAGAAAAGGATTTACAAAGATGGATCTGCAATGCACAGAACTCGCTCAACATTTCTGGTACCTAAAAAAGGTGGCGCACTTGAGGAAATGCACTGAATACTTGTGCGCAGTCCTATCTAGTAACTCACGTTTCTACCCTCCAAAAACTTAAGACGTACTGAATTTATGGTTGTTGTACGAGAAAGTTTTTTTATGGCCTTTCGTAGTTTTAACGACTAGTTGTTGGCCCAATCTATACAACCAGCAAGTTTATGACGGAGGTCATGCGACACATTTTTGATTCTAGGAAGAGATAAAAGAGAACTTCAACACTGTATCATAACGCGCTTATTTCATTACGTCTGTTTATCATGAAAGCAGTGAGGAATAATTTACAATGCCTGAAGCATACGAGTACCTCATAGCAGGGGAGGTTCAATTCAGTTTGCAAATCGTTGGACTGCACAATCAAACTTTTCCTTGTACCTAACTACATAGTGCGTTAAAGTCTGGGAGCCTAGTACTTCTTTTGATAAAATCACAAGGGAAGTATCTCAAAATAAAAAAATTGTGCATATGTAACTCAACATTTATAAAGACAGCCTAGCATTTTTTCACTCAATTTTTGCATTGCTTAGAAATAAAAAAATGTCCTTCAAATGCAGGCATGTGTACTTCGCATAATGTAATCGCGGGGAAAAACTGCAAATCAACTACAAATGTTCTAATATCTAAATTTAAAGATATTCTAATATAGAAGAAGTATGGAAAAAGACTTAGACTCAGTGACCGCTGCGCTTCTATGATATTTATATTCTTTTCAAAGACGGGTGAGTGGCAAGCAGGCAACAATCGCAGATTTTCATATGCTGTTTCTAAGGAAATAGCTTTTGGCAAACGCAACTTTCACGATGTGATAGCGCAAAGCCTCTCTTACGATTTGGGCATTGAATTTTGCTAGAATATCCTTGATACTTGCAGTTACTAATTAAATTGTAAGCACCAGAAATATATTCTCCTCATCTGTTTTCAAGTGTTTACATAAAAATGATTTCATATCATAT